TTCCCATGTTTACTCCCCCCCCCCCAAGCCCTCTCCTCTCCATGCTGCCCATGTTACCTCCCCCCCGCCCTGCCCTACGACCCAGTTTCATATTGACAGGAACCACCACATATGTAGGAGTCTTAGGCTTTAATTTGACTGTTTTTAACTTTTTAAATTTTTATGAGGCACAATAGATTATCCAATATGGCTCATTCAGTTTTCACATTTGCCTGTTTCCTATTCATCCGCTTCCGTTCATAGGTCTATTTCAGCATTTACTACTGAGGTGGCCATTTCGTCTGAAGATTTTAATTAATTTTTAATTTGCCCTTGAAAATGTCATTCAGTTTGATTATTTCCCTTCTTTCAGTTATTGGCAGAGGAGGAGAGCAGATTACAAAAATTCAGCTGGAGTCCGGCTGCAAGATCCAGATTGCCTCAGGTACAAGCCCTGTGTTTTCTCCAGCTACACACAGTAAGACCTTTTTCAGAGAGAAAGACTGGAACTTTCCGGTGGGTGGGGCGGGGGAGGGGGGGTACTGTTTGTTATCCAAGGTCTCCCGTTGGCTTGAGCCACTTACATACCGATGTTGAGGACAAGGGAGCGCTCTCTCCATGTACTGCAGCTGCACTGTGGCCATGACTGGTTTGGTAAAATGCCGGTGTTTGTCCCGGCAGACAGCGGCGGCCTGTTGGAGAGGCCCTGTACTCTGACCGGCACCCCGGAGAGCATCGAGTGAGTGCCGCAGCTCCTGTGGTGAACCACGTCCAAAAGAGAAACTAACACATGCGACAAGCTAGAATAAAGCAAGTGCAAGAAATGCATGGGGGTTCTGTCCGTCATAGAGTGATAACCCTCACCATGCTCCCTCTCTCAGGCAGGCCAAGAGGCTGCTGGGTCAGATCGTGGAGCGCTGTCGCAATGGACCGTGCTTCCACGGCGAGATGGAGGGCAACAGCGCCATCCAGGAGATCCTCATCCCAGCCAGCAAAGTGGGCCTGGTCATTGGCAAGGGTGGAGACACCATCAAACAGCTGCAGGTGCAGGTCCAGCGCATGGCATGGCCCCTCTGTCATTATACTTCTTTGTGAAAGTCACTTAACGGCACAGCACCCGTAGTGAATATTTGTCCTGCTAGGCATGTTTCAGGGCAGGGTTACGTCAGTCTGTCTGTCCGATCTCTTCCAGGAAAGGACAGGAGTGAAGATGAACATGATCCAGGATGGACCCATGCCGACGGGCGCAGACAAGCCCCTGCGCATCACGGGGGATGCGTACAAGGTGCAGGTAAGTGGTTATGATGCACAGCGACATTCATGGGGGGGGGGCATGTGATTATCGGGTGAAAGTTCAAGGTTCTCAACTTCCTGTGCCTTTTAGGCTCAGACCACATTCTGTCGTATCGTTTCAAAGTTCACCTCAGCTCACCTGATATTTAAATGCCACCTTGTTTGTTATATCCTGAAGGAATAGGGTTATTTTTAAAATGAAAAATGTAAAAATTGCTTATGAGACCCGCTGGGTACATGTGTGTTGTTCTGCCCCTGTAGCAAGCTCGAGAGTTGGTGCTGGACATCATCCGGGAAAAGGACCAGGGAGACTTCCGATTAGGAAGGAATGACTTCGCATCTCGGCTGGGAACAAGCAGCTTGGACGTAAGGGCTTTTATTCTGATGCTGTCTGGGAGGCTTATGCAGTCGAATTTCTGGGTCATTCACACTCAGCTTTCCATGCCGGATCTCCATGTAGGTGTCTGTGCCGAGGTTTGCAGTTGGAATAGTCATCGGCAGGAACGGCGAGATGATCAAAAAGATCCAGAACGACGCTGGTGTGAGAATCCAGTTCAAACCAGGTGTGGAAACGATGTTAAATATACACACAACCTTTGGTCCCTGAGCACATGATTTTTCAGACACAGTATGTCTTCATTTACATGCACAGCAGTTTGTTTGGGTCCCAGATGGGACTTTCTGTGAGGTGCTGTCACTGACTTAGAGTAACAGATCTGTAGTAAGTTGAAGGTGATTTTGTGGTGGTGTGGTTGTTAGGTTTAACAAAATAGTTTATTCCCCCCCCAGCCACAATGACATTCCGTCAAACTGCTGGATGTAATGTCCCAATACAAAAAAAGGTTGCATGAATGTCTTTTTTAGCCAAACCAGACTGGAAAAATTCCACACATTTCTGTCCATAACTTGTGGTGTAATCTGGGCTCGTGCATACTCCTTAGAGTTTACAGAAAAATTAATATTTGCATTTATGTAGCAGATGCTTATACCTGCAAGTGAGGATAAGAGCAAGATCAGACCTGGGGTTAAGGGTCTTGATTATTTCTGAAGGCCCTTTATATATAGATCAAGACCCTTAATGATAATAATAAAAGTAAAATAAAAATAAAAGTTTTATAATTTGCAGTGTCTTCCTTATTAGTCTGTCTTTATGATGCTTCTTTCTGGGTAAAAGTCTTCACTCTCTCCATTTTTCACGTTTCTGTTCACTCATTCCAGCTGTGTTACAGGAGTTCTGCTCTCTTAAACCTTGATACAGCCTCTGCTGTTCACAGCTGCCCACTGTCAGCCTCTGTCTCACTATGCAGTGCTGCCTTCTGCTTCAGATGATTTTCACTGTGATCTCTACTGGCACCACTGGAGTTTATAAAGCCCTGTGATGTATCCAGTCCCTGGCCTGAGCTGTCCTTGTTGTCGGTTTACTGGGTTATACTCCCTGGATGCTCTTGGAGTGTGTGATCCGGTGCGTGATCCGGTGTGTGATCACGCTGTCCCGCCTGCCCCCTCACGCTAGATGACGGCATCAGCCCGGAACGCGTGGCGCAGGTGATGGGCCACCCCGAGCGCTGCCAGCACGCACTGCACCTCATCAACGAGCTGGTCCACACTGCGCAGGTACGGCCCGCGTACCTCCTGCCTTTTCTATGGAACCACTCACTGACACTGCGACATATATGCTATGGGGGGGGGGGGATGGTGCTCCTCTGCCCCCATTGCACAGTTGGAGCTGGTTCCTTTCCATATCCAACTCCTGGGCCCTGATTTTACTCCTTTGAGGTGGAGATGCTTGGAATGGTGGGGGTGGGGGGGGGGGCTGGATCCCCTCTTCAAAAGTCCATCACTGCCACTGGACTGATATCATCCCCCACCCAGCCAGAAGCCTGCACCTTGGAATGGAAAAAATGCTGCTTTGTTTGTTTTCTAGTGTGTAGGGAGACGGGGCCCGATTGTTGAAAAGCATCAGTTGTTCATGGGGACTCCTGCATGGCTTAGAGTCCCAAACACCACTAATGTTTATCAAACTGCTATAGTTTTTCATTGAAAGGAAAAGCATTGTTTTGTCTTCTGCCATTTTTCTGTATTTTTCAAAAATGGAAATGCAAAAATTCAACAGTTGGGCCTAGTCTTGCCAATGCATGTATATGGGAGTGTGTGCGTGCGTGTATGTGCAGGTGTGTGTGTGTGTGCAGGCAGGTGTGTGTGCAGGCGTGCGTGTGCGTGCGTATGTGTGCCTGTGTGTGTCTGTCTGTGCATGAGTGTGTGCCTGTGTATGTGTGCATGTGTGTGCGTGCATGCATGTGTGTGTGCATGCGTGTGTGCCTGTGTATGTGTGTGCATGCATGTGTGCCTGTGTGTGTGTGCATGCGTGTGTGTGTGTGTGCATGCGTGCATGCATGTGTGTGTGCATGTGTATGTGTCATGCCCCGATCGTCCGCTCCTCTCATGTGCCACGCCCCCTCGTTAACCTCATGTGGAATCCCAGTGTTTTACAGCTGTTCCTGATTGTTGTCATTAGTCCATTGTATTTAGTTCCGTTTGTTTCCCCAGTTCGGTCAGTGATGTGATGTGATGTTGTACTGTTGCCTGCTTAGTGCTCCGATTAAACCCCGTGTTCCTGATCCCTGGCTTCCTGCATATTTGTCTGTGCTCCCGGGCGCTTACACGCGATCGTAACAGTATGTGTGTGCATGCATGTGTGCCTGTGTTTGTGTGTGTGTGCATGTGTGTGTTTCTCCTGTCTTTCTGGGCATGGTTGTCTTCGGGAATCATCATAGCAAAAACCCAACTGGCACAACTATCTACATTCAAATGATTAAATGTGCCAAATATATTTATTTGTCATTAATTTTCCTTCTTGTGAGTTTTGTTTAAGATGCCACTCTTTGCGAAGCTCCCACATAGACAGGGTAACAGGCGTGCATCTGTGATTGGCTTGTGTCTCTGTCTGCTTGAATGCATGCATATGTGGGTGGGAAATCAGACGGGTGCCCTACTGGGTAAGCAAAGCCCCCAGCTGCCTGCCTCCTGTGACCTTTGACCCCGCCAACCTCAGATTCCATTTGGACTCCAAAGAGCAGAGTCTGTAATTAGCTCATGTTTTTGCTTTTATTCATCGTCATTTTCATCTTGCTCTGGTTCTGAAGATACTCAGCTTTCCGCTAATTAAAATTCGATCAGAGAAAGACATACAAATTTCTTGGATGCCCCCCCCCCCCACTCTTAGACTTACTGTTATTTTCTGAACTATTTTGCTTTAATCCGGACAATTCTAGAAAAAGGCACTTCTGTTTTAAAGCAGTTTTAAGGATATAAAAACTACATATCACTGTTTATATCTCACTGAAGTATATATGCCTCTTATTGCTAATGTGGGGAATCTGTAAAGTTGACGAGTGTTAAAAGCAGGTGGTATTTCTGAAGGTGTTTCTGCACAGTCTGGCCCTGGGAGTAATGTATCGTAAATAATGTCCCATGAGGAACAGATGCAGTGGAGTATTAGGGAAGACCTTCAGGATCTTCACGCCCAAGACCAGCACGCATCAGATACACGGCTTTTACTATGCCGTGCCGAGGCACCATGTTTCCAGCATGATATCTGCACGGGGGGGGGGGGGCATTTTCAGCTCAAGCAGGGCTGTTTTTTGTAGCTGCAGTCAAGATAAGTGGAATCTGGGATAAGCAGCACGTGGATGAACAGCTGATAAACCAATAAACACTCACCTTGGACACATTAGCCAATCAGGCACTTCAGTGTATGTGTCCATGGGACTGTAAGCTCACCACTCCCACCAGGACACATATACAACACTGCTGGCTCTGTCACTCTCGTAGAGAGGCAGGGAGGAGGGGCATAGAGGGCTGGTGTGCCTTGGGTTGTTGTGGGGTGACCCTTTCGGGGGGGTACTGTGCTATTCTGAATTTTGGCGAGACACCGTTGCAAATTTCTGTGCATTTTTGTGGCCAAAATCACCTACATGCAAAGGAGATGAGGACTGTCAAACTTGAAATTGCAATGGCTCGTTAAGAATCTGACCTGTAGGGGGCACCGCCGTGCCAAGAAGATAATTGCAAAAGGGCACGGAACCAAAGCGAAGGAACAGAAATGAGCCACTTGTGGTTTGTCATCTGACATTTAGTTGGTTTTTACATGCATTTTGTTTTTTTCCCCACAGGAAAAAGAGGAAGCGTCACGCTTTCAAAACACCCCCATCAAACAGTGACTTAGTCACAGTATCAGAAGGTGACACCCCCACGGATTCATTGGCTGGGATGGCACCTCCATATCAAAAATGCCGCAGGGGAAGGACGGGTGCCAGTACAGGCTGTATACCAGCATGGTCTTCTAGCTAATCTGGTGACATGGCCTCGTTAATGTCGAGGTTAAACTCCTCCGGGGGGAAGCGCGTCGAAGGCTTGCAGAGGTATCCCAGGCTCAGGTGCCATGACAGAGAATCCATTTTGCTTCGAGTTTCCCTCTTCCTCCCTCCCTCCCTCCCCCAACCTGGCTCTGTCATCTCTGCGTGGGTCTCCGATGCAGGGGTGACATTTGAAGCAGACAGATTAGGCCTCCCTCCAATTAAATTTGCCTTTTCCCTGTTAAATACACAATCAAGCAAAAGCAAAATGTCAGACAAACAAATGAGCGTCCGCCACAGGGCATACAATTAGCCGCTGAGTGGTGTTGAGAACGCCAATACGTTAATCCAGTGCTGACCGTGACAAGTCCGGGGGGGTGCTTTATGGGGCCACCAGCCCACAAGGACCTGCAGGGAGGAACTGGGGGAGGGGCGACAGAATGTCATGACCAACATAGTGCCAGGAGAAGAGTTGGGAGGTTACACTGCTGTCACACACCCAAGTCAAAGGGCGTGGCCTTCGATAAGCTGGGGGCTCACTTTAGTGGCTCTTAGCTTTGCAGAGGACCATGCAGACATTAAGCTAATTGTACTAAGAAAGGTTGATTAAGCATAGTCCAGTAAAGGAACTGCATTAAGCTACCTGTGCCAACTGCACTAAGCTAACTCTGCTAAATTAACTGCATTAAGCTAACGGTGCTAAAGTAACTGCATTAAGCTAACTGTGCCAACTGCACTAAGCTAACTGTGCTAAAGTAACTGCATTAAGCTAACGGTGCAAAAGTAACTGCACTAAGCTAACTGTGCTAAAGTAACTGCAGTAATTAACATCGCTAATATAACTGTGTCATGGCCGTGCCCCAAAGACACAGACAGCAGACAAAAACAAAAAAACCTGCACAAACTGAAAGATGAAAAGATGAATGCACAAACTAAGATTAACTGCATTTTAAAATAAATGTTCACTGATTTCATGGTGTGAAATGTTTTTCAAAAACACGCAGAGTACATTCCACTGATTTACTGTCCATTTACATCCTCTCACAAACTCTGAGATACGTCAATGATGTTATGCTTCAGTTAAATCACCTGGTACATTTTCTAGAAGATTTCAGTTTTTAAAAGAGGATAAAATTTCTGCCCCAGGCACACTGGGGTGTCACAGTCCCGTTTCCCACATGTTTTATTTAGGATGTAAGTGGCGTTCATGCAAGCAGTCCGCGTCACTCCGTGTGACATCAGAGAATCATACACAGCCCACAGGTCCCTGCTGGGCCAGCTGCTGCTGGGTTTGGTCAACTTCTCTAAGTCAGCAACAGTGCCTGCTTCACACTCCCAGGGGTGGAGAGCTAAGGCCTCACACTGGCCCAGGATCTGAGATCCAGGCAAACACATTCACACACAGACACACTGAGTTTCTGTCATACAGTATAGATGCAAATCATAGGGCTGCCAACTCCCACGCATCTGGCATGACAATAATTTTTAGACTCTCAGGTTCATGCATGAAATCTTACAGCAGGTCTATATTATTCCATTGTAAACCTAAAATTAGCTACATCAAAAGTGTTTCGGGTAGTTTCAATCAACCAAACCATCCATGACCAGGCCCAGTATCTTCAAAGTTACACAGTCACATGCTGATTTACACATTCAGACATTGACACACTGCATTAAACATCCACACACCTACACACTGACATTCACATCCACGCACTGATAATAACATAAAGTCCAGTCCGTGGAAATAAGCACCCCTCACCCCCCCCCCAAAAAAAAACCGAAATGCATCGGTGCACCGATTCACGCGCATGCATCATTATTTTCCACTGCACACTCTGTAAATGATCCATGTACAGAAAACCAAACACACAATCTCTTTAGTCATACACGCACTCTCCCATTAAATCTATTTTCACACGTGGTCACACATGAATTAGGAAATCTCTTTCCACATACACAAACAAAACGACCCAGTAGAACTCGGCCATGTATGGTAGTCAGCTGGTCTGGACCGGGGTCTCCCAGGAAGACGATAAAGGCGGCTGACAGCCCTCTGATTCTCTCGTCCATTCTCTGACCCAGCAGCACATCACATCACTCACTCTCTGTCTCTCACTCTCTGTCTCTCCCTCTCTGTCTCTCTCTCTCTGTCTCTCCCTCTCTGTCTCTCTCTCTCCCTCTCTCTTTGTGCCCTTTTTTTCCTTTCCCTTTGCTTTAAGTGATAGTTAGGATACATTTACCAGGGCCACATGCTTCCTGGTGGCTATATATCAGTTTCCATTAAGCAGAGAGCTGTGAAAATCTCCCCTCCACAATCATGCATACACACAAACACAGAAGTGAAATCCAGCCGACACGGAGACGGCCGTGCAGTGGGGAGTGGTCCAGGCCCGCCGACACGGA